GGAAAAGCTTCATGAATTAGTCATGATTGCGTATTTAATGATCACACTTTTCTCTTCGTTTATAGGACGAATGAAGTTGACTGCGTGAGGAACACCTCAAAGAGGGTCCATCCGATTTTTACACCAGCTGTTTCTCACTCATCCACAATTTATTTTCCAAATTAAGAAATGAAAGTGACCCAGCACATCTTGCCAATTAAACAAAAAACAAGTATACCCAGTGCAATCAACTGTCCATATATGTAAAAAAAAAAAAAACTATTACAAATGGAAAAAGTACAACATGAGATGACCCAAAATGATGCAGACACATTGTTCAGCAAATGGCAGTGTTCCATGTCAAATACAGTAAGGCAAACTTCAATCAAACTCCATATTTATATATGCATTTGCACCATTTTCTCTCTTATAGGGATGCTGTGATTCATGTTATCAGATCAGCAGTGCAGTTCACTGACTGACAGGTCTTAACTGTTGAGAGTGTTTCAATGTGTGTGTGTGTTTATATATACAGTGCATGTACAGTGTCTCAAACAGCAGCCTGGAGTTTGCTCATGTTTCTCTGATGCATACTGTGATGTCTGACCAGCTCATCTGAGCGGGCGAACTTCTTCTGACAGCTGGCCTTGATCTTGAAGATTTCTTGCTTTTCTTTCTCTTTTTTTTTTTCTGCAAGAACAATTCAAAATTTCACACCCCATAAGCTTTGAACAAATCTGTGTTTCATAGTGGCAATACAAAATAATGCAAATGTTCAAATCTCAGTAGCATTTCGTCTTTTTGTATATAGAAACTTTAGGGCCATTGAAAGCCCGGACCGTCTTCCTGATCCATGCATGCGTTCAGCGCTCATTCATTTTAGGACAATCATGAACAGTTTTTGTGCAGTGAAGTCAAACCATGACAGTATACAGTGTTTGCTAAACAGAACGAGGATTAGATCTGTATATATAGAGATGCATTCCATGTGACCCCACACGGAGACAACAGTACGAACATTCGTCTGGAACGGTTTCTGGGGTCTTGCTTGCTTGTATTCACATTGGTGTACGTTTGTATGCAGTTTTGTTTTTGTACACAGTTTTTAATAAATGCTCCAAACCAGACTTTGGGAGAAATAATTCCAGTGTACTTTTTTTGCTCATATAAAATTCTGACAGCTGGGCCAGTGGCACGCAAACGGCTTCTCACCTGAGAACCACCAGAGAGAAAACACACAAACACATTTTATTGGTGCGCTGTAATCAAATCAATGCATATGCAATAAATGGTTTTTGAGAAGTCTGGAGAAGAAGAAAAAAGGCTTACGCACTTGTTTTACCTGTATGAGTCCGAGTGTGGGTCTTAAGATGGTCTGAGCGTGAAAACTTTCTTTGACATGTCTCACACTGAAAGGGTTTGACGCCTGCAGGAGCAAAGCAGGAGACAGCTGTGATGGGTGGGGCAATCTCATTCAACAGTATTTGATTGGACAATAGTTTGGATACGCCCCTGAGTGCAAGACGTGTCGCCGATATTTTTGGCAGTGTTGCCAACTTAGCAATTTTGTTGCAAAATTTAGCAACTTTTCAGACTACCCTAGCAACGTTTTCTTCCAAAGGCACCTAGCAACAAATTAAGCTATTTTTTTATTTTATTTGGCTACTTTTAGCAACTTTTGATAAGTTACTCAAACAATAAAAAGGCACACATTTTCCAACAAAATAACACAAAAAGAGGCAACCAAAGATGCCTAGCAGTACACAACCAGTGTCGGGGAAAGTTACTTTTAAAAGTAATGCATTACAATATTGCGTTACTCCCTAAAAAAGTAACTAATTACGTTACTTCGTTACTTTTTATGGAAAGTAATGCGTTATATTACTTTTGCGTTACTTCTAAAGTCATTTTTGTTTATTAGTATGCTTGAACTGGACCATCAAAGGTCAGCAGCAAAGACAATGGTTAAAAAAATGGGATTAGATACATTTGTGTTATTTAACATATTTAAAGGGGTCATACGATGCGATTTCAAGTTTTCCTTTCTCTTTGGAGTGTTACAAGCTGATTGTGCATAGATAAGATCCCTGAAGTTGCAACGACTAAAGTCTCAAAACCAAAGAGATATTCTTTATCAAAGTTAAGACTCATTACTTTTTTGAAAAAGTAACTCCGATATTTTCTTGTAAATTAAAAAAGTAATGGGTTACTTTACTAGTTACTTGAAAAAAGTAATCTGATTACATAACTCGCATTACTTGTAATGAGTTACCCCCAACGCTGTACACAACATCACGTGAATTAAGTTATTGCTATTTGCAGTTATTCGATTTGATAATAATAATAATTTAATAATTGTTCATTTATGATGCACCTTGTTTAATTGCTTGTACTTGCGATTGTTGATCAGTTAGTACACTGTAAGAAAAACATCTAGAAAAATGGAAAAGGTACTAGTAATTATCAATTATCCGTTGTGACCCTGTAACCCGAAAACACTAAATACAATGCAGGTAAAAACCTGTGAATTCTTTTCTTAGAGTGTAGCATGCTGACTACTAACACACTGCTTAAAACTAGAATTGTTCAGAATGTGTAGTTTTACTAGTTTACTAGCTAATAAAAAACTTGTGTAAGTGTTCAATAATTCAATGTTGTATGTAAAAATAGTTATTTATATTTTAAAATTACATTATGCAATTATATTATTTTACGAACAAATCTAAATTAACATATAAAAATTAAAATATGTTATATATAACAAAAAAAATTTTTTGTTTTTGCTGAGATTTGATGTAGTGACACAATTTCGTGTGGTGATTACGTAATGACGTCATTGCGCTGTGACATCACAACGTCATTTAGCAACAAATCGACCTTCCTTTAGCAACTTCCCCTGAAAATTAGTAGGCAACACTGATTTTTGGTCTGTTTTTCCAGAAGAGAAAGTTTTACATTCTGAAAGCTTTTAATGCTAAGTGCTTACAGTGTATATAACGTTTAAGAGTAAACTATAGCCTACTTAAAAATTAAAGGTTCCAAAAGGATTTGTTTGCAGTGATGTCAAACTGTAGAAGAGCCATTTATAGTTTCCAAAAAAATAATAAAGAACCTTTACTGTTATGAGTGTAGAATATTAATGACCTCAAAGCCCCATACCTGCTATATTTCTGTCCTGGAGTGTTTTGAAGAGAGACATGTCTAACCTGTGTGTCTGCGCTGGTGTCTCTTGAGTTGGTCAGATCTGGAAAACCTGCGGCCGCAGTCTGTGTAGTCACATTGGTAGGGCTTCTCACCTGTGTGTGACAGAAAATCACAATATGTGAACATGACTGTAGTCTCTGCCATTAACATGAAGCCTACACAAGGGGGCGCCGTTTGAATTGAGCATTTCTTTTGTTGTTATGCTTATTTTGAGTGTCATAAATCATGGATTTATCTGTAAAACTGTACATGCCATGAGGTCACAAATTACTCACTCCAGATGTTTCTTAGTAATTCTGGTGATTCTTGTGCAACTGAGAGGAGGCCCTTACAAATAATTACTATGGTAGCATTATTTCCACCAAAATAGAGATATACACGAGATATACACAAGTGTGTTCAAAAGAAATGTAAAAAGACTGGAATTCTCCAACAGCCTCTTACACAGATCCCATATTGATCCGTTTAACTGTAATATTGTAACCGAGACTACGGCCACCATGGTTTTCTGTCATAAAAATAAAATTAGTTTTGAACATTTACATTTATTAAATTAACAGACGCTTGATTTACAATGCAGTTTCTTTCTTCTAATTAACTTTAACTCACAACAAGCTATGCATTTGTTACAGAATTTATTCATCTTTGTCATCATTAGTATGCTCAGGTCCATTTAATAATATTACTTTTTTACAAACTTGTTATAATGTATTAGTAAATGTTGAAATGAACAATAACTTAAGATTCACAAATGCTTTAGAAGTATTTTCATTATATTCAGTATTATATAGCTGTGAGACAGTACAAAACCTTTGCCACCTATGTGACCCCATGTTTACTTTTCGAGGAGTGTGTGTGCCTGCGTGCGTGCGTGTGTGTGTGTGTGTGTGTGTGTGTGTGTGTGTGTGTGTGCGTGTGTGTGTGTGTGTGTGTGTGTGTGCCTGCGTGTATGTGTGTGCGTGTGTGTGCATGTGTGTGTGTGTGTGTTGATTCATGGTTGTGAATAATGGTTGTTATCAGACTCACTCTGTCACTAGAATAAAGTCAGACATTCCTGAGTGCTGGAATTCAAATGTCCAGGGACCTGATCTCGTGAATTTATGTTTCTGAGTGATGGAGAATTTTTCACATGTTCTAATTTAATTCCCTGCCATTAACTTCTCTTATTGGAGGTCTGAAAAAATAGATCCCCCCCCATGATTTATGACTTTGTTATGCATGTTGCATAACACTGTAAATCTTACCTCCTGCTTTTTAAGAGAAAAAACATCTCAATCTAGACTATAAAATCAGTTTGGATTGTTTGGGACCCCAAAATGAAACTGGAAACTTTTTTTGTTTTTTTGTATCGTCCACATATGTCTCACCTGTGTGTTTCCTGCCGTGCATCTGCAGGTGGGACAGTTTGAAGTATCTCTTACTGCAGCCGGGGTAAGAACACATGAAAGGCCGTTTCTCACTGCTCTCTGATGATTTAATGGAGGGAGCGATGCCTGGTACTCTCCGCACATCCTGGAGAAAGAAAAATAAAAACAGGATAATTGGCAATCAACAAACTCTATTTGCCAATTCTTCTGCACTTCAGAGCCTTTGTTTGTTTTAACTTCTGCGTTACCAAACCCCAGATGAGTTCTGCATCTGAACAAACCCTCTTATCTTGTGGCCTGTTAAATATCAATTTAGCTTTTAAAAGCCTTTAGAGGAAAGCTTTAAACTAACGTTATAAACATACAAACGTGCACGCTATTCTCTGGACAGTATCAGCTTTCTCAAGCTGTGATGGATGTTGATTCAGGCCAAACAAACACTACAGACTGAAGCAGTAGCTATGTTTCCATCACTGTATTTTTATGCACATTTTGAAGTGATGAAAATGACAAATTTCGAAAAACCAAAAAAAAAAATATTCGCAAAAAAGTTTTTATGCTCACTTGAGGTGGTTTTTAACTTGTGTGAAAAGGGTTAATGCGAATAATGGGAGATGGAATCGCATTTCAAGTGAAAAAGTCAAGTGACTTTGTGAGATGGGACAGCATCTGAAATGTTGTTATGGTTATCTGAGCAAAGTCTGTCATCAAAGTATTTCTGTATAATCGTCTCACAGAACTGTCTTGCATGACTGCGTTCCCAAACAGCAGGTATCCACCTCCGAAAGCAATGACCGCTTTTTTTGTGTTTCGTCTGCTCGCTCTGAGGCACAGTTAATTTATTATATATGGAAATTATTATATTCAGTGGCTTCTCCTACAGGGTCAGAAAGCTCTCAGATTTCATCAAAAATATCTTCAATTGTGTTCCGAAGATGAACGAAGATCTTACGGGTTTAGAACGACATGGGGATGAGTTATTAATGACAGAATTTTCATTTTTGGGTGAACGATCCCTTTAATTACAACGCACTTTGTGGTTATATTATAGTGAGAATCCAGTCTGTGTGTGCACAGGTAAAATGGATATGTGTATGAGTTTGTCGCTGTGTTTGAGTGTGTGTACCCACCTGTACTCCTCTGAACACACCATGTGTGTGTATGTGATACTGAGTGCTGCAGTTGTACACCAGCGGAGCTCCTGCAGACGCTTCGGCCTCATAACCACCACTGTGACTGGACACAAAGACAGAGAGTCATTCTATAGAGAGTTATTCATAACTGGCAGATAAAACAAAACCGCTCACAGAGAGACTTCTCAAACAGAGCTGACATATTATCTAGTGTGATGTAAATATGACCCTATAACCTATATAAGATTCTCAGAAAAGACAGATTTGGACATGTCTTCATAGCTCTGCTATATATGAATCAGCTTTTCCTCCTTATTAACAAAAGGATGTTGTTATATCTAAAAATAACTGTGTAAAACAGCCTCATCTGTCATAAATGATAGCAAGGGGGGACTGTTAGTCTGGAAGGGGATTTGTAGTGTGGGCAGTAACGGATGAAGAGCTGAAGACCTATAAAGTTTTTCTTTGTCTGATTCACTTCACATCTCGAACTACACAATCAGCCATTGCTGGTCCAGTCCTCCCACAGCTCAACCATTCATCCGTTCAGTAGATAAACACCCTGTTGTCATGGCATTGGGGGTGAGGAAGGTGGATACCAAATCTTTTATCTGGACAGCCGGCATAAATATTCTGTCCAGCGTCCCAGTCACCTACTCATCTCAGGAAAGGAAAGGAAAATATAGGAACAGTCAAAGAGGAAAGGAAGCAAAAATATGGGAACAGTCAAAGAAGAAAGGAAAGGAGAGGAAAGGTTCTTAAAGGACAGAAAAAGAAAAGAAAACATCATGAACAGGCTTAAAAGGAAAGGAAAGGGAGCGAATATATATGCGAACAGTCAAAGAGGAAAGGAAAGGAAAGGAAAGGAAAGGAAAGGAAAGGAAAGGAAAGGAAAGGAAAGGAAAGGAAAGGAAAGGAAAGGAAAGGAAAGGAAAGGAAAGGAGAGGAAAGGTTCTTAAAAGACAGAAAAAGAAAATAAAACATCATGAACAGGCTTCAAAGGAAAGGAAAGGAAGCAAATATATGGGAACAGTCAAAGAGGAAAGGAAAGGAAAGGGAGCAAAAATATGGGAACAGTCAAAGAGGAAAGGAAAGGAAAGGAGAGGAAAGGTTCTTAAAAGACAGAAAAAGAAAATAAAACATCATGAACAGGCTTCAAAGGAAAGGAAAGGAAGCAAATATATGGGAACAGTCAAAGAGGAAAGGAAAGGAAAGGAAGCAAAAATATGGGAACAGTCAAAGAAGAAAGGGAAGGAAAGGAATTCAAATAATTTGGGGTTGTTTTTAAAGCACAGGTGTTGATATGAGAGAGTCTGTACCTCTTTATGCTGGGTGTCAGTGAACTGACGGGATTCCAGGTAGTGCGTTCCAACTGAGACGCCATTTGGTAGAGATTCTCACTGCCAGGACAGAAGAGATAAATCACAGTCATGTGACCTGACTTTCATGGCTCAGCTTCTCAAGTAGCACAATGCTTTTAAAAAGGGAAGAGGCACACCAAAAATAGGAAGGAAAAAAGCAAAAGACAGAAAGAAATTTGAAAGAACGAGAATTTTGATTTGTAAGTCAATGTTTTTTTCATGCCATGTTATTTTTCTGGTTCCTACACTGATTAGAAGTATAGGAACACTTGTGTTGGTGTCTCTTTCTAATCATCACCACTGATTCATAACTGTTTTCTAAGGAAGCAGCGAAACTGGAGGCTTGTTTGGCACAGTGGAAACATCGTTTCACCACATGTTGTGAAGTGTTGTATCTCAGCGAGCTCTCACGTGGTCCTGGCTGGCGAGACGAGTGCCTGGCACAGTCACGTAATAGTGTGATGTCACAGAGATTTCTGGGTATCGTGGGAAGGATTTGGGGAAATGATCTTGACTCATATGCTGTCTGTCCCTTTTCTGTGGGCTGAAGTAGCAGTTTTTGAAGGTCAGCCAGTTTCTTAGAGGTACAAAACGTTTCAAAATACACTATTTATTATTAACAATAATAATGATGATTGAATAATAGTTGTTGTAGTTGTAATCATTTAATTAATTATTTATAGTTAAATAATAATATCATATCATATCATTTATATAATATAATAATTATCAGAAAATAAAGTAGTTGGTGGTGGTGTTTCATTATTACTTTATGATTGGTTGCCATATTGCTTTCCAATAAATTGTAAATAAAGTGTTTCAAAATGCAAGAGACCGTTTCTAGGCCAAACACTGGTGAAAATAAGGTGGAATTTCCCTTTTCGCTCCCCTCTAATCTTATTTTATTGGCAAGAAATGGAGGTTTGTGAGGTCACCGGAACACACTGCAACAGAACCAGGCTGATGCAAGCGAGTGAGTTTGTTTGAGTGAGTGTATTTTCTTGTGATGGTTTCCAAAAGCACTCGGAGCTCCAGACAGCAAGGGCAATAGCGGGGATGCTGCGATCACGTCTTATCAAAACTGGATGCCTTATTTCGGGTTCTGTGATCTCCTTTTCTCTAAACAACATGAGAGCAGTATTCGAAGAATGCACACTAATTCCTGTGTCACTGATGAAATGCTACATTTCTCTTTAACTGCATCTTCTTCTTCACCTTTCTTTTAAGGAATATTTGATCCTAAAATGAATATCGTCATTCATTTATTGTTGGTCCATACAATGTATGTGCTATATTAAAAATCGTGTGATGTACACTTGAAATGTATGATGCCTTTCAAAAATTTCTTTTGAAAGAAATTGATACTTTTATTTAGCAAAGATGCATTAAATTGATCAAAAGTGACAGTAAAGATATTTAGTGTAACAAAGCAGTTTATTTCAAAAAATGCTGTTCTTCTTAACTTATATATCATTGTTTCCACAAAATATATATAATCATTTTCACAAAAATATTAAGCATTACAACTGTTTTCAACATTGATAATAATCAGAAATGTTTCCTGAGCAGAAAATGTGCATATTAGGATGATTTCTGAAGGATCATGTGACACTGAAGACTGGAGTAATGATGCTGAAAATTCAGCTTTGCATCACAGGAATAAATTACATTTGAAAATATATTCAAATTAAAATATTTATTTTAAATAAAAATTATATTTCAAAAACTTTTGAAAACTGTAGTTTTGAATGGTAGTGTAAATTGTTATATGCTGATATTCTGGTTTCCTCGCCTCATAATAAAGTTCATTTTTTGAATACATAACTCTTTCTCTCTGTCCTCTCATGTCTCTGGGGAGGGCCAGGCAGAGAAGGGAAGAGGAATTTGGAGGAAACGGGCAGTAGATCACTGTGAGTGTATTTTGGCCTGCTGAGAGCTGCTGTGCAGTTCTTAACCTCTGTGCAGACAGCAAGACTCACTGCAGGATTTATCTGAGCCATCCAGACTGGGCCTCACTGACGCTCAATTCAGTCACTCAGAAACCAGAGGGGGCTGTGCCACGGCGAAGTCACAAATCAGCAATATACATATTTTACTTCTTACACTAATTAATGCGGCTTTTTAAAAAACATTCCGAGTTCAATACAAGTTCAGCTCTATCAACAGCATATATGACGTACTGTTAATTACACGGAAAAGAAACAGTAAAAACGGTATTTAGTGTGACACATACAATGGAGATCTATGGGGAAAAGTGTTGCACTGGAATAAGCATTACAAAATACACGCTGTGTAACAATTTAACAATTATTTCAACCAAATATCAACAACTATCTGAATAGTTTTAGCATGTTAATGGACTGGGCTTTGAGAGACTAGATCTGCTATGCTGCTCTGATGAGCCAGTATGGACTTTTTACTGCCAATAAATAGACCGATTGTGAGCATGTAAGATATGCTGCTGCTGCTGCTGCTGCTGCTGCTGCATGAATAAACACTCCGTAGCAGATCTAGACAGGTGGAGCTGTGGGAGGTGGAGGGTTTCAGAGTGTGAAAAGTAAATTATGTAAATGCTTGCTTCATGAATTGGCACTCGTAAATTCCATAGCAGATCTAGAAAGGTGGAGCTGTGGGAGGTGGAGGGTTTCAAGAGCATGAAAAGTAAATGATGTATATGATAGCAAATAATGGTATTGAGAGCAGATCGCATGTGAAGGACCGACTATAAGGCATGAAGATGTGAACAGTGTGTATTATTAATATATATCCAACTTACTATATAAAGTTTATATATCCAAATTGTAAACTCTTGTCATGACCATGTAAACCCAGTACAACATTTAAGTTTTATATGAAATGAGAAACCAGAAGTATACCCTCCTATATCAGTAGTGCCAACACTAAAATAATAATTTACATCACTGCTCTTAATTTTTTTGACTCCATGCAAGACCGTGATTGTCCACAACAATATGCGAAGGCTCGTAACCTTTACATTTTTTTACCGACTATTTATACTCTATAAAATATTTTAGAGCTTGGCATAACTACAAACATTTATAAAACGGATAGTTCCAGTGTTCTGTCGATTTATGCTACCCTGTCAGATTTTGCTACCTCCCATTAAAACAGTGGGTAGTACAATTCGACAACAAAAAATGCTACCTGTAAAATGATGGTTTATTAACGTCTACACCTACCACAACCCTTAACCTACCCTTACAGTAATGCAAATACAGTAATTATGAGTTATATTCGCGGTTGTAGCTAGAAGGGTTACAGCTACAGGAAACCAACAATAAATATTTTTTCTATCTATTAGATTGTGTTTTATTAAAGTCTACACCTACCCCAACCCTAAACCTACCCTTACAGTAATGCAAATACAGTAATTATGAGTTATATTCGCGGTTGTAGCTAGAAGGGTTACAGCTACAGGAAACCAACAATAAATATTTTTTCTATCTATTAGATTGTGTTTTATTAAAGTCTACACCTACCCCAACCCTAAACCTACCCTTACAGTAATGCAGATACATTAAATATTGTTGTTCAGCATGAGAAAAAGGACGCAATATTGATGTGCGCATGCGCAGTTAACCCTGGTAGGAAAATCTGACAGGTAGGATGAAATGTCAGGACACCGGTCCTTGATTCTGATTGGCTGAGTCACGTTCGAAGCTGTTGTAAATTACTCTACAAACATACACCTTTGTTTACGTTTGTGTGTTGATTCTGAGGAACTACATTGATTGGTGGATGAATACTGTTTTTATTAATATCATTACACTTCATTTGCTCTGTTTTATTTTGTGAAACCTTACTACGTATATGGAATAACCGTTTTATAAAAGCAATAAGCCCCGTGAAGCCGTGGTTTACAGTGGATTTATAACAGCGTCGTGCCTGACAACGCCCCTTAGCTGTTATAAATTCACTGTAAACCCCGGCTTCTTGGGGCTTATTGCTTTAGTATACCATGGCCATGCAGTTCTAATATTTAAAACATAACAGACTATATTAAAGGATGCCATGAAACTGAAAATCTAAATGTCCTTCATATTTAGAGGTTACTCTACAATAAAAACATACTGCAAGTTCACTTGCCTCTCTGAAAGAGGCAACACCCCTTGAAATGTGTATTCATGACAGAGAGTGAAAATGAGGATGGAAAATTATCATCCTTACAAATATTTGAACTTCATAAGCCAACCTCTAGAAACATAACAG